TCTTTGCTGTATTCTTGGTGAATTCAGAATGACTCCTTAGCACTCTGGTCCTGTTGAGTCTGTTGTTTATTTAGCTACATTGTTTTTAAATCAAAGGAACTGTTATTTTTTTCCTCTTTTACCAACTTGTGAAGCACATTAAAGGCAGAACATTCAACCCAGGAGTTTTCACTGTATAGTCTCTCAAAAGGCACCCAGAAATCTCACGTTTGAGACATCCACCCAACTTCCATACTGTACTTAACAGTACAGTAGCCAAAAACCAAGCCAGATGCGAGTTATACAGAGAGAAAAACCAGAACAGCTGCATGCAGACCTTCACACATAATTGTGACTGTAGAAAAACTAACTTTTTGTCAAAAGAGGTGCTATTTCAAGTAGTACAAACCTAGTTTTTCCAGAGTACATTACCAGTTCACATAGTGGTTCCTCCTCCTCACATCCCCTCTTTTTAAATACCAGTAGGTTAGACCAAGCATACACAGAAGCAATTGCATATATGCATCTGAAAAAATCTCTAAGAAAACAAGGAAAAAATTTGCAACCCAATTTCAAATGTACAGAAGAGTTCAAGGGCAGTAAGAAGTCCTTCCAAAAGGACTTGTGTTTTAGGGTTTTTATAAAGTTGCTCTCTAGTTGTGCACTAGAAGGAATACATTGACACAATAACTACAGCAGCCAATTAGCATCAAAACCACTGTTTTTTAAAATATCAGAAAAAAAGGAAATGCACTTCTTCCTACAGTATTACTTAGTAATTTGCCAATGAAGGTGACCCAACGTATCTGCAGCTGTGCCTCCATCTTCCTTTCCATGACAGAAAACAGAGAGCCTCCCAGCCACAACACACTTCAGGGCAAACCACCCCAGTGCTTATTCACACTAAGACAACCTCTCTTCATTTCAGCTGGAGACTACAGCAGCTGTCCCAGTAAAGCAGCACCTCACCTGCATCAGCTGCACACAGAGGACACACAACAGCTAACTAACTCATGATGGCCACATCTTCCTACAGCAGGCATCATCACCTCATTTCTCCATTCTCCTTGACACTGCAGCAATGCTCCCACTTCAGAGCAGAGCAATAAGCATAGAATTTAGCTGTGCTGCCAGTGCTCCTCTTCCTCCCTGCCTTGAACATCACAATCTTGGCAGAGAAAGAACAACTTCTGTGAGCAGCCATTGGCCACATACAGTGGCCCACTGCTGCCTGCACTTGCTCAAGACAGTGACAGAGGACATTTGCACTGCAGTTCTCTGGATGTTTGAGGATGTGACTGTGGGAAGATCTGCTGTTTACAGTTTGTGGTTCCAGCTGATAAGCTGGCATTTAGCTCAAGCACAGCAGACCTCCATGTTTGAAACAATGCAAAACAAGCTCAAGTGGCCACCAAGATTTCTATGATGCACCACAAGTCAGCAGGCAACTGATAATGCAGTAATATATTCAAAACCCATATTAGAAAGTCAAAGAAGGTTTGGGTGTCCTGTGCCAGCCATATCTTTAATAGGCATAACGTTTCTGCAGCTGAAAGAACACCTGGGCCTTAGTTATTTGTATGTCAAGCTGTTACTTATCCAAGGCACGGCTGCTGCACTTCAAGCCTGTAAACACAGGACTCATGGCATGCTCTGGCATTATGTATGCTGTGAGTAGCAGTGCTGCTTTACTGGTGTCTCACACAAGCAGACATTCAACTACCCAGGCATGTGTTCACATACAAGTTCTGTGCTGGCTGCAGAGGTTATGGGGGGAGCACAGTCATAAGCCCAGCAATCAACCTGCAGGGCTGCTCTGCCTACAGGTCTGGCACCTGGAAGCAGCTGAAGCAGCTGAGCACCTGATGTCCTCCTACTACCCTTGATGAAAGGAAATACCTTTTGCAGCCTTTTAAAGTGTCATCTCACCTTAAACTCACACCCCTTACACGCTACAATTATTTTTGTGGCCCATCTTATCAATTCCCAATCAAGCAAAAAACTTGCCCTTTCCAATAACTTTTCCAATAATGGATTTGAAAATTCCCTTGGCCTGATCTGTTACACCAGCAGAGAAGCCCTTTCTATCATCTCATCATTACTTAAAGGCAGCGGCAGACTCGGATGGAAGAAACTCTTTTCCCAGCGCGGCTCCTGTAACCAGGAATCGAAGTACTGAGAAAAGTTAGAGCAGCGTAGCACTGAAATTACCCTGGTAATAGCCTCCGCTGTACTTCCACAGCGCTCCTGTATTTCAGGGATGCCAGCTAAATGCTGCCGCCACCCCCTCCCGGCCACCGCTACTGTCACCCCCTCCAAAGGGAGGGCCACTCGTGCTTCAGCCCCTTCCCGAGCGCGGCACGGGACCGATGAGGGGCCGAGCTGCAGGAGCAGACGGAGTCGGCATAAGTTTCGCGCCGCTCCGCTGTTCTCCCGCCGCTCTCGGCAGGGCTCCTCCCTCGCCCTCCAGCACAGCTCTTCTCCCTGGGCACCCGCGGCTGCCGCCGTTCGCTCGCAGGGCTCCCGGTGCCGGGCAGGGGCCGCGCGGCCTCCGCTGCGCCGGGAGCGGCCGCTCCTCCGGGGGCGGCGGGGACGGGGCGGGCCTGACGTCAGCGATGAGGTGCGAGGCCGGCGCGGAGGGGGCGGCGCGCACCGACCGGCCGCGCTGCGAACTGCGGAGCGGCCCCGGCCGCGCTGGAAACTGCGGAGCGGCCCCGGAGCCGCGCTGCGCGCCCGGCCGCCCTGGAGACACCAAGTTCACACACGCCATGCGCGTCCGCCTGCCCGCCCGCAAGTCCCAACAATCGGCGCTTCTCTCAGGACCGACCCGACCGGCGTGCTCTGCTCCCGCACGTTTCCTGGAGAGCTTGAGAGCGGCTCCCGGCTAGTCGGGGGCCCACTCGGCAGAGTAGTGGAACCCGCCGGTCCCTCAGACGCTGCCCCAGACCAGCCCGCCCCGGACCTGGCTGTCGCCCTACGGGCGCTCCGCTAGACTGCCCCGGTCCCTCTGAGGGGAGGGCCCGTCCCCGCCGCCCGCGTCCCCCTCCCCGCCAGGCCGACGCCGCTCCCCCGCGAGGTCCCTGCCCCGGCCCGGGAGTCACCAGAGAAAGAGCCGCGGCGGGGGCGGCCGGGACGCGCACTCACCTGCCCAGGCGCCCAGCGCCGGCCCTACGGCGGCGGCGCCGCTACCCAGCACCCAGACGCGGAGCCCGGCCAGAAGGCGGTACGAGGCCAGCGCCGCCGCGTAGAGAGCGCCCAGCGCGCCCACCCAGTAGAAGAGGCCGGCGGCCGGGAGCGCGGCGGTAGCCACCATGCTGCGGAGGCTGCCGCGGCCGGACTGAGCCCTCCCGGCCACCGCCGCCCCGCAACCGTCACGGCGCCCGCCCCCGCCCCGCCGCGATTGGCGGAGGGGCCTCTCAGCCACCGGGTAACCCGGCAACGCGGCCGGGCCCGCCCGCCCTGGGGCCGCCCGGCCCCGCCGCGCCGGGAAGGGGGGGGCAGGCAGCGAGCGGCCACACGCCCCCGTACTACTTGCGGCCTGCGCCCCACGTGGTCGGCACCGCTCTCTTGCCGCCATTGGCCAGTGAGCATGGCCGTCACCCGGTCGGCGCACTTCGATTGGTCCCGCCGCCCAGGAACCCCGCAGGACTGGTGAAAGACGGAGCCTCCGCTCCCGCCCCCACTGACGTCATATGAGCCCATTCATAAAATGCTCAGGCTCCGCCTCACACTCGAATATGTCCTTCGGTTCACCTCCCCCAGCCCCGCACTGCGCTCGCCCACGCAGCCGCGCCGCGATCGCCACGGCACGGCACGGCACGGCACGGGTCCGCAGGGACCCCGGGACAAAGGGAACCCGCGCCGGGGAAAGTCCATCCCGGGAAAAGAGGGGCTGAGCACCACAGCCCAGCTGTCACTGCACCCCACACACCGCGGGGCTGGCAGCGCTGTCCCGTCCGGCTGGCTTCGGTCTGTCTTTCCCGACAAGATCCAGGGGCAACGGAGGCTTCCGAAATATTTCCCCTGAGCTGCCCACTTGTTGTGCCATGCCTGAACTTGCCCTGCCTCGTCGCCCTTCACCTGCCCGCTTGACACGACCTCTCTCCCAGAGCCCCTCACACGATGGGGTTAGGAACGCCTGGACTTGGAAGGAGTGTAGGAGACACCTCTGAAATGACACACACACCCCCAGGAGGGAGCCTGGGGCAATGGAGAGGAGATGGGGCAATGTAGGCTGTGGGAGGCTGAAGCCCTGAAATAGCTCATGCTTGAGATGTATTGCCTCAACAGGCTGAAACGGCAGGAGTGGCTGAGGAACATGGAAAATCAGCAGCAATGTGGTGTAAGGTGTGGGTCAGTTAAAATGTCAGAGAAGACCAGTTGAGGCCCAGGGGACTGCTGTTTTTAAAGGGAGCCCCTTGCAACTATCTTTCCTTTCTCTCCTGGACTAGCAAACAGGTCATACCCAAATCCAGCCACTACTGCTGAAGATCTCCAAGCTGTACCAGCTGCCAGGCTGCAGCCATGTTGCCCTCATCCAACTCCTTTGTGTTACTTGCCACATACCATGTCGATGGCAGAGGAAGCCTCCAGGAGCCTAATCTGCCAAATCCTGGCACACCTCAGGCCTGGCCTCCCCTTGCAGCTCCACCTCTGAAGACCACAATGGATTTACAAGTGCTCTACATTTCTCTTTTCTCATCTCATTCCACATTTCCTAACCTTTTCCTGCTTCAGATTTTGGAAAGAGCTGATGTAAGGTGCCACCTTAATTGTAACAAGTAAGCAGTACCCTGAGTATTGCAACTTGGGGCCACAACCTGGCCATGGTGCCCTGTGAATGCAGTTAGAAGCACTACTGCCACTTCAAGCTCTCATTTAGAAACAAGACACACTAGTATGACACCAACTACCTGATGCAAAGAACTGTGCACCCTGAGATACCTGGGGCTGCACACTATGACCTCTTGTCTATGTTAAGGGAAACAAGACCAAAGAAATCAAATGAAAATTTGCCATGATAGGTTTATCCTTTTTATTAGTTTAATAAAAATAAACATTTGCTATATTTCCTGCTGTTAAATACATATACACAAAATAGCTTTTCACTCAAAAATACATAATTGATAAAAATCAAACCCTTCTGTTCATAATCTACTTGTGGAAAAGAAATTCATTGTGGGATTCAAATTTCATTGGATTGAACAACACTGCACTGATGTCAATTAAAGGCATGAAACCATCATACACTTTGCAATGAAAAAAACAGGAAGCATCCATCCTTCCATCCCCATGGTGAATTAATTCACCTTTTTTTTTTTTTCTTTTGTCAATCCCTCATGAGAGGTGACACTGCAGAGGATCCAGCTCTCACCAAGTTTTCTTCCTGCATTTTTCCCAAGAGAGCCCACCTATTGCTTACTGGACATCACTTTTAGAATAGTGTGATAGGCTAGGCCTAACTCCTGCAGGTATTACACACGGAAAATCCTTATAGGCTTCACCAAGTGTGTAGTTGACAACACCCTCCAAAGACAGGACTTTGATTACAAAAAATGCAAAATGCTGGGATAATTTTCCTCTTGTTCCATACCAGCCTTTCCTTAATTTTTAATTTTGTCTATTGGCTGTCACAGCAGTTCTCATCTGTTCAGTTTTTGCAGAATAAATGACACTGCTGATCCTCACTCTTTTGTCTTCCAGAGGACAGGTGAATATGGCATAAGCATCTGGAAAGAGAAAAGGCAGAAAAGAGATCTACTACATGTCAAAGGCAACATTGTAGAGCTGAAGCAAAGGATGGAAGGTAACAGTCCTCACCAGACTCACCAAGTGTTTAGAAGAAAAGTTGGGCAGCTGGACAGTGCATGTAGAGGCTGGAGGAAAGGAGATGAGCATTGGGAAACCTGCTGAAGGGAGCAGGCAACTTCCTACTGGACATTCTTGTAAGCTGCACTGCAGTTACCAAGGGAATGCTGACAATTACAAATGGGTCAGAAATAGGAAGGAAAGTATGTGGGTGCTATGAAAGATTTGTTGGTCTCTGTCAGAGTCTACCCATCTTTTATTATAACATCTCCTGCCCACTGCACTGCAGTTGTGCTGGTCCTGAGACCTCTTGTCTGAACAACCTTCTTGTTGCAGGTCAGGACAGAACCTGCCCCACTGTTCTCTCAGGGGGACTGATAAACCCCTTGACAGAGAAGCACAGACAAAGCAAGGCACTCCTCCATTTTTTTTTTTGTGTTAAAAAAATCATACTGGTTATTCAAAAGTGTTGCTATTTTTTATGCTACCCTGCTTGGAGAAAAAGGCAGTCCTCTGAGAGGCTTACAGTCTACATTTAGAAGAAGATGAGTCACAGGCAGGGAAAGGGACTCACTGGAAGGGAAAGAATTATACAAAGGTCAAATGAGGGGGTTTGCATCTCTTGCTTATGGGCATCACACATTCCTGAGCAACAGGCATATCCCCCTTTCCAGGGTTAATCCTAGTATTCTCATGAGCTTTGCAGGTCTGTTCCCATTTGCCTTAAGCTGCTGCAAATCCCAAAGGAGCACCCAGTCACTGAGCTGATGGAACAGACAGGCATTTTGAGTGTACTCACACATCAACATGCATACACATATGAGGATACCTTGCCAAGGCCCCAGAGATCCATATTTCCACAGCCTCTTTTATCAGTTCAGGCGTGTAGTCAGTTCCAGATGACTGCAGATGCAATCTGGGTCAGGGCAGTGATGCAAACCTCGGTCAGCCCACAGCTTGGCTACATTGCTCCATCATATGGATCATGGCTAAGCTGTACAGCAGATCACAACAGAGATGAGAGAGAAGTCTTTAGGAAAGCTAAAGGAGTAGTGACATGCATGACTAAAAAATGCAACAATAAGGAACAGAAGATAGGGACATAGAACCACACAGATGATGACATCAAAAGGAGACAAAAATATAGCACAGGAGCAATAAACCACAATGAATAGAGGATAAAAGAGCACCCAATAAGAAGCATTCGATTTTTATTATGAAGTTTTTCTGTGATGTTGCTGCCACAAGTACCTCACAAGCAATACACATCTCAGTGAGACCACATTCCCATGTTTCCCTCCTGCCCTGCTCTCTCGGTACCTGAGGAAAACACTTCTCACTATAAGTCCACAGGCGAGCACCCAAGACAGTCACTCACTGTCCCCACAGTGACACCTGTGGCTCAGGGGTCTCAGCACTCAGGAAGCCTCAGCACTGGGATCCACTTCTCATCCCAGCCTGCCCAGTGCTGCCAGAAATGCCGTCTGCTCTGCAGCAACCCTGAGACAGGAGAGGGGGAATGCTGGTTATCTGTGATGTGTCATATTTTTTCCTGCCCCTGAACAGTGTAGTCATTTGTTTCACTAAATGGCATTCTTGTACCCAGCACTAATTTTATCCCTTTACAAATATGTTTTTCACTCTAGCAACTCAAGAGCAGCTCTCCCCTCTGTACAGTCATTCTGCTCTCATGCCTCTCTTACCATTACTCACACTTATTGCAGTGAGGCCAGATTCAATAATGGGCCTGGCTGCTGCAGTGCTGAGCCCTGCAGTGGGTCTTTGCCTAAATCCATAGCCCCAAATTAAGACACCCTGCCCCAGTGCACACTGAAGGCAAAAATTAGAATACCTAAGAATGTAAGCTTCATTGTCCGTTCTGTTAATGTCTCAACAAGAACCATTCAGACACGCCAACAAATCTCTCAATGCACCTCATCAACTGCTGAGTTCATTGTAATGATGGGGTGAGGCAAGATACCTTGTATGGAATTCCAGATCCTCAGCTTTTCCTTAGGCATCTACTCCATCTCCTTGCAAGGCTCATGGTAACCCTCCAAGACCGTGCACTATTTAGCACTCACCCAGGAGTTCTGGTTTCCCTCCTCTGCCTGAAAGGGCAGAAAAGTGCTTTAACAGCATGGCACAGGTGTGCAGGGTGAGGTGATTTTGGTTGAAGCTATTTCACAGCACACAGAATCACAGAATCATCACATCATAGAGCCATAGAGTTGCCTAGGTTGGAAGGGACCTTAAAGATCATATACTTTCAACTCTCTTGCCATGGGCAAGGATGCCTTTCACAAGGCCAGGGTTCTCAGAGCCCCATCCAAGATGGTCTGGACATTCACAGGGATGGAACGTGCACAACTTCTCTGGGCAACCTATTCCAGTGCCTCACCACCCTCACTAAAGAATTTCTTCTCAGTAACTGTTTTTCTTTCAGCTATAATAATGGGAGGGAGAGCTGGAGGGGCTGCAGCAGACATTCTCAGCCCCAGCACACATCCTGTGCATACATCTTCAGCAAATGTTAAAGTGGTGTATCTGGGCAACTATAAAAGCAGGTATTTATGTAACCCTCCTTCCTTTTGGCATGCTACACATGCAGCAGGTGCTGGGGTTCCATGGTTCAGACTTGGGCTTTGCCAGCTGGCTCTTGCTGTCAGCTCCTGCAGTACAGGACTCCTGTGGGCCTAGCATAAGGCACTTCGAGCTGATCGGCCCTGCTCTGCAGAGCTTGCAGGAAACAAGGGAGCCAGAGAACAGCAGGTTGAGAGAAAGGGATGGAACTGGTAACATTAAGTGCCATAATAAATAACCAACTAAGCACAAATTTTGATTGATGTGTCACTCATCTGCAATTGCACACTTTTGGGTATAGTTTCTATGAGAAGGGCAGAAATCTGCAAACACAAGGCAGCTGCAAAGCTCAAGTCTTAACTTTGAAGCTGAGTCAGTCAGGCATTTTAGGTTACCACACTGTGTTACAGCTATACACTCCTTGCTTCTCAAATAAACCTTGGGCATCAGCAATCTAGCCTGCTTCAGGGAATAAAGTCCCAAATTTCTCAACAACAAAACACTCCAGGCAAATGTGGCAATGGAAGACAAACAGAACCTAAAGCCAAACAGTAGCTGGCACATTAACTAGTTGAGTCTACAGATTGCAAATCCAATGTGCCATGCAGATGTATGCTGCTCTTTATGGGAAGGTCTGTTCAGTTTACCTTTCAAACAGGAAACATTACAAATGGTACTACAAACTTCTTGTACTTGATACAGGGATTTTTCACTTTTACCTGCTATGGATTGACAAGTGTGTCTCCTGTTAAAACTCAAAATTCCACTTTTTGTTGCCATTCCCTGTTTAGAGTTCTCAGAAGTGACTGCAGGGAGCTCCAGATCCTCTTACTATGCAAACCAAGGAAAAGCTTAGTAGGACATGCATATGTAGTGAGGGTTGGGTTTTATAATCACCAGCAATATTGGAAATCAAGTACTACTCAAAAAAAAAAAATTCTAATAGTTGTGCATGCTGCAAATCCAGTGCAGCATGTGTTTACTGGAGACATAATATGGCCATGACAACAGATTACCCTTTTTCAATCCGACAACGCACTGAAATATATTGATTTGAGCTGAAAATATCATCCGTAGAAATGAAATGCTGTTTGCTCATTGTTTAATCCTTGATGTCTCTTCTACCTAGTTTTGGAACTGTAGATAAGTGATAGAGATACTTGTCCACATGAAATGAACAAAGTTCAGGAATGCATGGCACTCACACCACTGCTAACACTGTCATCTTACATGATACATTCACTTTCACCCCCCGATGATAGACCACATTTGGTAATAAATCTCTGTTGTCTCATCCTTCTAAAAAAAATCTGTAGTCCTCAAGTGTCTCCCTAAAAATCCACATGCCAGACAGTTCTAGGGCCAAAACACAAGAAGACTTCCTCTTGGCTACTCCCAGTATTTCACAAACATGAACTCTACTTTGAATGCCTGTTAAACAAAATGTATCATTCCTAGGGGAAATGTGAGGGCAGAAAGTTCAACTAGGACCCTACCATGACAGAAGCTGCAAGCAAAAAAGGTATCTCAGATTGCTATTTATCTTTAAATCCCAATTATGCATCTGCATATTTTTCATCAAATTCTCTGTATTTCTTTAAAATGTTTGGATTCCAGACTTCCTAAAGACTTTTACCATTGCAGTTTTAACCATTGAAATTGGCATTTCAAAACCACCATTGTTTAAAAACAATGTAGGACCAAAGACACCATAATAATGTTTTCACACACAAGCCTATCTATTTGAGGTGTGTAAAATGCTATCCCCCATCTGGTGACTTCAGTGGAAATCTGAAGATTTACAGAAGCAATGGCCTGGCTCCAAAGTATTCCTACAAAAAATAATTAAAAGCAAACAATGAGCAATTAAAAAAACAACTCAAAAAATGCTGCCACAGGCTGCAGTGAGCCCTCCCTTTCTGAGTCTACTGATACCAAACCAAGCCCTGCCATACTCTGGTTCTGTTCAGTGTGTAGGTTCCCAGTATTCCTATGTATCAGTTCTCTGTTACTTCTACTCATCAGCCAGCACCTGCAGCAAAACCAGGTGTATGTTGTGTGTGAGCGGACACGTGTACACACTCCCCCCAGATGTGGTTACCTAAAACCAGCAAAAGAATGGATTTGGCCTGCTCTTGGTGACAGCAGTAACAGCTTATTTTCGTTGAACACTAAAATATGAGCTGTTTTGCTTTTGTTTTTGAGTCATGCAAATGTCATTATCAGCCTTATCATGTGAACGCTGCTCACTTCCATGACTTTCCCCAATCAGTGTTGTTTCAAGAGGCATAATACAGCACAAGAGGACTAGAAACAAGTGACACCAGTGGAAGTGCCTCTTTTAGTGGCAGAAAGCCTGGCAGGATGACATGAGCTAATCAGGTCAGAAAATTTTTCTTTGCTGAAGGCCTAACACAGTATTCCTACCATTTCAAAGGGAAGTCCACAACTTCCTTCCAAGTCAAAAAGGTTAAGAAAAGAACAAGAGAAAGAACCTGCTATGAATAGGAATTATTTTCTTTAAAGAATCAGACTCATAATAGAAGAATAAAATAACTTTCAGGAATCTGGGTTAAATAACAACCAAGTATGTTTTATTCCACACTCATACCATCACTCTTTGGTCACACGTCTGCCCTGTAAGCTTCAAGATAAATGTCTATAGCTCAAATCCCACTTTACAGAAAAAAGTTCAAGAAATCAGTTAGAAATAATACTTCTTTTTTTTTTCTTTCTTCCTAGTCTTTCATACTGTCTCATACCAAATAAGCCTTCCATTTTCATTACTTGTTCACCTCTAGGCATATGAAGGAAGTTTAATTCTGATAATCAATTCACTTCTTTGCTTCAGCAACTACCGAAAGTGCCAGTGGTAGCACTTAATGCATAAATTGATGATTGGATTGATTCTATCACTTAGTTTTCTATTGACCACTGAACAGGAAGTTACCTCCTTAAAACATATTATTTCTCTTTGAATAATCTGCTACAGATGTAGCAGATTATTAGGACTGAAAAATAAAATTAAAATGGATGACTGAGCAAGCTTGCTTAACTCCCTACCCTGTGGAGATTTCCCAAAAGCCAAAATGCCAACTAAAAATCTAAACTGTCTACCTAGAGGACAGCAGCCTTGCTGAAAAGCAATGTTCTTTAATCTTTAGGTTCTTCTGTTACTTATTGAGTACTGCACCAGGTGCAGTATGTAAAAACTACAGTCCAAAAGGCAGGGGAAAAAAAAGACACAAAGTCCCAAGGAAACTGATTATACATACATTTTAGAATGCAACATTGTCTTGGCCTAGATACCTAAAAACTTACCTAAAAATTGTTCCATTAAGACTCCTACAAGTAGCCCATCCAGGCACAAGAAGTCAGGTAGCACTGCATGAATTCAGCCATAGTGTCCAAACCAAACATATAGTTCAGAGTAAACACAACCAAGCTACTCAATTAAGAGCCATAAAATGAAATTAATATGACAAAAACTAGCAGCACTTTTCAAAATGGACCCACTGTAACTTAACATATCCATCTCAGAGTCCACTGATAGACAAGAATGTGGTATTATGGGAGGGGATATCCAGGATTCCCAAGTCAAATTCCCCACCCCTGTGCAGAACCCAACACTGATGTTCTTTCCTGGATATATCAAACTTCCTTCTAAAAGAAAATTAAACTTGTTTCTCGTTTGAAACTACCCCAGAATATCGTCAGTCTGATAGTTAAAGCTCTTCCTCCAATTTCCAGCAAAGTCTACCCATTATCCCTTTCACACACATTTGTTTTGCTTTATTCTAATCTTGAGCTCATATAATTATTTTCCTTCCTTACATAACAGTGTAATTGTCACTTCTGTGTCTCTCTGTTAAGCCCCTCTATTCCTCTTAACATCCATGTGGTCCTTTTCTGCATCTGTTCCATCCATCTGTTTGAACCCATTTATCTGAATGTGGGTGATAGTTGGGCTGCACATAAGATCTTATTAATGTCATACACTTTGACAGCAATACTTTCTATACATACAGGAAATCCATCCCTTAACACTTTCTAGGACACTATCTTTTTTTATTATTATTTTCTCAGCCACGTCACATGCTGTCATTCTCCTGCGGACTATTACACCAACTACCAACCTGTCACTGAAGTGACAGAATAAATTGTCATCAGTTTCTATTTGCATCACTAAATCTCATCTAATTCTATTAACCTCAGTTTTGATTCATCATGTCAGCACATGGATATTCCAATCCTCCTCTCTCTTAATACAGTCCACCAGTTTCGTGTCATAAGATTTTATGATTGCTGTACTTTTTCACTAGTATCACTAAGGAAAGAATTCCAATAGTCCTCAAAACCTCCAGTTTCCAGCCTTCTTTTCCTCAGTATAGTCTCTTTCTACCTATTATCTGCCAGTTCATTCCAAAGTCACTTTACAATGCAATTAATCCAAATTTTCTCTGGTTTACATTATTTCCTAACATGGTACAGTATCAAAGTTTCCTCACAATGAAACACAGGGTAACAA